TTAGATGTTATTGTTAAACACAAACTGATATGATGCTTTTATAAGGCATTATAGATGCATAAATGCTAAAAATGGGCGCTTTTTAGCACGTTGCTAGGTAGTTGCCAGGAAACACAAAGACGTCACAATATCTGATATAGATGAGACCCTTCAAGGGGCCTAAGATGTTGGATTGCTCAACCCCTGGTGGTCTGAGAGGAGTTTGAGGACAAAGAAACAAGCACACACACACACAGGTTTGTGTATTATAGTCAGATAAGGTGGGTGTTTTCCATGGGAAAATGAGATTAGGCAACACAACAACAAATCTGCAACACTATATGAAGGCACTTAAATCATAGCCATGTACAAACCACCAGAGCTCTCAATAAACAAACGCTCCAAAGAGTCATTAGGAAGGTCGTGTTAATACATTTTCCCAGTTTGTTACAAAGAAAGCTGAAGAATTTCAGTTAACTACAATGTTTCATTAATTTAGTTAAAGTTAACTATAATAACTTTGCTTCACGCTGCTGATGAAGGGAGTAAAACTACCACAGAAAACACCAGAAGTATCTTTTTACAGCCTCAGATTGACTCATTGAATGTGTGGGTTTGTGTGGGAAACGCCACTTCCTATTGCATGACATCACGCTCAACGTAAAACACTAGTAATTCTGGTCTTTCTAGAACACGCTGTCACTGTTTACCAAAGAATACACAGCAGAGACGCAAAGCACTTGTTATGTGATATGTGATATTGGAGGCTACTGTTTCACTTCCACTCGTGGTAAAGAATCAAAGACTTGAAGCAGAACGTGAGGCTGATCTTATAATGGCATAAATAAATAAATGCACTGTTATGATCTTTAGTGATTGGGTTTCAGGCAGCTTGCACTTTTATTCACTTTAAGTTTGGTAGTTTAAATTCTGGTAGTTAACTAATCGTACGGCAACTCCGCTACGGAGCTGTGATAAGTGTTCATGCCACTACCCCCCCTCCTTCCCCTAGTTCCCTATGGGCCCAGGCTCTGATGGACCCCTGGGAGCCATGGCTGGGATGGAACCACACCACATGAATGGATCACTAGGTAACACGACTCACCACAGTGCATTAAACCAACGCAGCAGTGAAGTGTTTGGATTGCATCCTCACCTGTTAAAGACAGCACATGTTATTATCTGAACTCACTGTATAAGATGGGCTCATGAACATTGTTTTAATTATTTCACACGTGGTTTAATTTTCAGGTTCTGGTGATATGGATGGAATGAACAAGGTAAAAAAAACAACCCCAATGCAGCCATGTTGCTTATCTTTTCAACCCAGATAAACTAAACTGGTAACTTT